AGAGAGAGAGAGAGAGAGAGAGAGAGAGAGAGAGAGAGAGAGAGAGAGAGAGAGAGAGAGAGAGAGAGAGAGAGAGAGAGAGGAAATCGTGAGAGATATTCGTTCCTTCATCATCGCCACCGCAATGATGATGATTTTGAGGACGGCAGTCGTGTTTAGGATGCTCGTGTCGTGGCACATGCCAATGACGACGACGGCTATGGTGACGGGGATTGTCATCGTTATGACGATTATGACGACCATAATGATGATGACGATGACGATGATGATGATGATGATGATGATGATGATGACGATGATGCTGACGATGATAGTGATGTTGATGACGATAATATGATGATGACGATGACGATGATGATGATGATGATGATGATGATGATGATGACGATGATGCTGACGATGACAGTGATGTTGATGACGATAATGACGTTCACGATGAAGTTGAATCAATCCTTCCACGGGAGGAAGCGACGATCGGTCGTCCAGATTTTTTTTCAAGCTTTGCTATGGGATAACGGCTGTCTTTTTTTTTTACATCATCGAACTTTGTTGTCCATTCGTGTTGGAAGAGAGTCAAGCATTCGTTATGGAGTTTATTTTTATTTTTATTTTCGTTTGAAATCGACGCACTTTGCTTGATTGGAAAGAGGGAGAGTACGAATATGCACAATCCACGACCAATCAGCAGGAGGCTAAAGCCTTGAGTGGCAATACAATAGTTGGCCAAGTTGCAAAAACCGAAGCACGGAGTCAAGCCAAAGAGGAAAGAAAGAAGACAGACACGAGAAAGGGAAAGGGAGAGAGAAAGGGAAGGGGAGAAGAAGGATGGAAAGGAAGGAAGAAGAGGCGAAGAGAGAACACGCAGATAGTCCCTAGGTGCAAAAAGCGAGAATTCGTAAAATTATAAAGAAACACCAATTCTCGTGCGGACGTCCCTACGCCGCGTTTCGGCCGCTTCCGCTGTCGGCCATCATCAGGGGACTTGAACAGCACCTGAGGTTGTGCGTGTTTACCGAAGGCTAAATAGAAAGCAACTATAAGGAAAAGCTTGTAGGGAAGGGGCCATACTTGCCGGACTCGTAGTGGAATAGCGCAACCAACGAACCTGGTCAAGAAACAGTGCGTAATATAGTCGACTTGCCCCATGACAACCTTCGCGACGAGCTGCCAGCAATCTGTCCGGAACCAGCCAGAAGAGCACACGAAAACGTGTTATGGGAAGGTTTTTCCCGGGATCAGAAGATCCAAGGTAGGAGACGCCGAGTTCAGATACACGCAGAAGATGCGAATGTCGGAGGTGGGTGTGTAACGGATCAGAGAGGCGGGAAGGCGGGAAGGCGGGAAAGCGAAGCAAGCGGGGTGGGTGGGAGACATTCCAGGGTTTCAGGCTGAGAGGGCGTCTGGGAAGGAGGAGGCAGAACAGTGCAGGGGTAAGTCAGGAGAAGATGGACAGGGGGATACGACAAGGTGGAAGAGAGACAGCGTGGAAATGGCGCGTGGGTGTCGCGGCAGAGGGGCGGGATTCCAGTGGTATTAAACTTCAGGTAGTGTCCTTGATGCCAAAGAGAATCCGAAGCCCAGATTACGAGATTGGAACGTATCAGTACAGGAGAAAGAAAGAAAGAAAGAAAAGAAAGAAAGAAAGAAAACAACAAAATTGAATGTAGCTGGACAGGATTAAGCGTTAGGGGGAGAAAACGCAGACAGGGAACTCATACGGGAAAGGGCAGAGAATGAGTGGGCAAAAAAGTAGGCAGACTGAGGTGGTAGACGCGCATAAGATCCCATAACCGGTGGGGAGGGAAAGGAAAAAGTCTATAAAACTACATGGTCACGAAGTCTGTCGTAAGCCAGTTCGTGGAGGCGTGGCGCAGCTCGTTCCCAAGTCCTATTCTAAATATATCGACCCAGAGGTCAGCCACCTTTGGAGGTCGAAAACTCAGAGAGATTTTTGTCAAATATTCGTCTCGGGAAACCCTTCAGTCGCATCTCACGTCTCAAGGCAAGAAGCGCCAAACCCACTCCTCTATTGTCTGAGGAGTGGGTATAAATCCTGTTCAAGTGCCCTTTTATCACTCCCTTTATAAGGGTCATAGGTCCGTAGGATCTGAAGTCCTGTGTGGAGAGGATTCTGTATGCTTGCTGTCCCAAATATATTCCTGGTTCTTGGTGATTGCAGAACAGTAAACTGCAGGTGGCGACGCGTAGCAGCGGATAGAACAGCCCAGGAACTCCCATTCACCATTTCCAGAGTCCGTACAGACCAGGCTGAGGTTGTCGTCGTAAGAAGATTCAAATTTCTTGAGGATTACTGCTGCCTTCTCCCTTGCGGCTGGGTCGTTCTTTGCGGATAGAAAGAACAGACTAACATCATCGACTAGTCTGATACCAGTAATCATGCGGCTATCAATGCCGAGTGAGCTCAAAAAGTTGATCTCGTTAAAGGAGCAAAGTAGACAGGCTAACGCAGGGCTGGAACACTTTCCCATCGGGATACCCACGACTTGACGTATGACGAAAGTGGAAGCACGAGAGTAAGTATGGTCTAGATCGAACTGAACGAAATCTAATATCTGTTCAAACTTTATAGTTACCCATCCCTTTACCCCTGCACTTTTGCAGAAGGAGGCCCCTTTCCCCTGTCTGTTTACCCGAACTGCTTTCTTCCCTGATTCTGAAAAGAAGAGGCAAATCCAGTCCAGCGCTCTCAGAATGGAGGAGTGTGGCAATTTAGTAAACATTTCTTTTATATCATAGCTAGCCGAGGTCAGTCTAGCAGAAGTATTATGCATAGCCTTTTTATTCAGGGAGTCAATCCTGGGTTTAAGCAGATTGGTAGCCCTCAGATTGAAGTTGGAGGATCTGGGTAGATTCCATAGTAGGAAATTGACGGCACGCCCGACAAGTCTACATGCGCGCACGCTAGGCTCAGAAAAGGAGGGGGAGATGGGGCGCCATCGGGAGATATCTTTATGCTTAGGCAGTCCGTAACAGCATCCTAGTTTCCCTTTCGAGTCCAGCGAGCTATTTTGTGACCCTGAATTTTGTCAAATTGAGTTCTGCAAATACTTAGGACTTTATTCTCTTTCATCAATACGGTCTTGAATCCGGAGTTGTTCCAGTATAATTGACCCAAAGCTTGGTGGTAGATGCTCATGCAGCAAATCAGTGAGTCTCCGGCATTGTGGTCAATTGGAGTGACCACCAAATCCCTGAATTTTTCCACCCACTCGTCCAGGCAACCTGTGATATCGTCGAGTGGTCCTGCCGAACTGCGTAGGCATTTTTTCAGGGATTGATGAGAAATTTTTGCATTACCTGGCAATCTGCTCAGTCCTTGACTTAGTGTTTTCCTGATGCATGCTATTGACGCAGAAGTAGAGGGAGGGAGAATATTTTTCGAATTTCGTAAAATTTCAGGCATTCCTGCAATGGATGAGACTCGCATGACAACATGACCGTCCCTATTCCGTGTCAGATCACTAGGGGATTCCGAACAGGAGCAATAATTGGAAGAGTATACAGCAGACACCCTGTGGTTATGAATAGTCTGTCCGATATTCCGGTTTCGTGACCAAACAAAATGGAGCCGGGAGATGATGAAGTCTGGGAGGTACTGATGATTACACGAACTCCTAATAACTTGTTTAGCAATATTAATGACATCGAGTTTTATTATAGAAGAGTTGAACTGCAGCTTAACGACCATCGGTGTAGTGCAATTAAAACCTTCTTTCTTGCGAATCACGGATCCCACAATAACGCGCAAAACAGATTGCGTGTGACTTTGCGGAAAGCAGTCAATGACATTAAAGAGACGAATGAGTGCTTGGCCATCAAAAAAGTACAGGGCCCTTCGAGTGGTTGGTACCTGCAGAAGAGATAAGAGCACGAGTTTCCTAGCTGACTGTCTATTCTTGCTCATACGAATCTGAAAAAAGACAAAAATCCCACCTTTGCACAAATTAGGACGAAGATCCTTCAATAAGACCTTGGATTCGTTAGTTTCGACAATGCTCATACCAAATAACTTTCTGATTTTCCCCCACCCTTCCACAAAATACCCGCTGCCATGAAAGACAATGGTGGCCCACCCATTGTTCTGACTACGGCATTGTCTTAGAGACTCGAGCAAAGAGTACAAAAACACAGCGTCAGGTGTGATATGTGAGGATCCGGCAGAAACATGCCACGAAATGGGTCTATCATCACGAAACTCGGAATCTGGGATGACAGTGGACTGCGTGCGGTAAGCTTTTCGTTCTCGACGTCCTTTCCTTTTTCTAGCCTTTCTCCTTTTACTTTATTCAATGACGGTATTAAGGCAGGGAGACCACCTACGGATAACAGAAGCTTCAACTGAGCGTAAGTCACCCTCGGAGGGGAAGACGACAGGAATAGCTACGTACGGCTCCCACCCTCTTCGTTCAAGCCATCTTTTTAACTTGTGATTCCTGCCTTTATTATCGGTGGTAGCTAAACGTACATGCTCTCGCCATTGCTCGTCAGCACCTCGCCACTTCGCTTGGTTGAAGTTTTTGTTTAATTTTTCTTTTCGTTTTTTTTTTTCCCCCTTTTTTTCCCCTCACAGGAGTGTCACGTCAATTCCTTTTTTTTTGTTTGTTTTGTTTTTGTCTTTGTTGTTCGGGTGTGATGTTCTCGACGATGTCATGACACTTGGGGCGTCGTATATGGATGTGCAGTGTGGTCCGATGTAATTCACCGCACCGGAATTCGTCAACCGAACTGTTCAAGCAAACGAAATGAATATGTCACTTGCACAGGGTCCCGCGAATGTTATATGCAACTTCGTAAATGTATTGTTCATAGTGAGTTTGTTGTCGAGCTTTATGCATGTCAATTATTTAAACGGCCCTCGAAATGCATGTGTTATGTCCCTCCATCTCGCACTTTGCAACCTTCATTGCTTGTATCACGTGCGATAAATTGTTAGGTCGTTCGACATGAACATGTTCCATCGGGGTTGTAAAAATGTTTGCCACAAGGTGCTCCATAGAGCGAGAAATGGGACACGAACGAAATACGAAAACACACGACTGTGCAATCTCCGACAACGACAAAAAAAAAAATTCAACTCAACTTTTTCGAAGTACACAAATGAATAAATGTTCCGGAAAGGTAAAAAAAACAGCATCGTCTGAACCCGTCTATCCGCTCGAAATGACAAAACACGACCCTCTCATAAACCCAGCAGGATGTATTGACAACCGGCAATACCAACACTAAACTTGTGTGCCCGTATCCTTGTCCTTCGACCAACCTTCATCTGCCTCAAAGTCTTCTCCAACACATCGGACGTCCTAAAATGGGTTCTGACACATAACCACACAAAAATCGAAAGAAGAGCACTACCGCCATGGGCATGGTTGCAGTGCCCCGTGGACTGCCACGTGGTGGCGCACGTGCTGCACCAGGCTGGCCCTAACGTGTTCCGCGAGTTCCCCCCCATAAGTGGGGTCATCCTCTGCTGGCTCCTCGATGTTCAAGTCCGGGAGGTGACGGTTGAATCGACGGCGCCGCCTGCGTCGTTGACGGTTCCGATGTTCGTTGTTCTCTCCATCGCTGTCACTGCTATCCTCCATCAGCGCCGGGTCGATCTGCACGTTGTGCTCGATCATCAGGTTGTGAAGAATGCACATGGCCATGAATTCTTTGCAGACTGTCTTCAGGTTGCAAATATGTCTTCGGATGAAGTTCCTCCAAACCGCCTTCAGACGTCCGAAAGCCCGTTCAATGCACGACCTCGCTGCACTGTGGCTCAAATCGAACGCTCGATTGACCGGAGTTCGAGCAAAACGGCCAAAAGGAGTCATGAGCCATGGAAGAAGAGGGTATCCTTGATCACCCAGCAGGTAACGCCCGACATGTCTACCGTCGTGTAACACGGCACCTCCCTCAGCCAACACTCCTCTACCCTCCGTGGCATTTGCGAACAATGGTGACATGCGCAAAGCTCTCGAATCATGCACAGACCCCGGACAACCCACATAAACAATGCAAATCCGACACTCGTGGTCACAAACGACTTGGGCCACAACCGAAAACCCCCCAGTGTGGTGGTAGTAGCATTCCAATCGCTCTCCCTTCGGCTTGTCAATATACAAATGCGTGCAATCTATCGCGCCTACACACCCGGGGAAGCCTTTTCTCTCGAAGCCATTATGCACGTCCTCCAACCGTTGCCCTGTGGGGAACTGTAGCAGATGGCCATACTCCCGAATGATTGCGTCGGCCACTTCCTCGTTGCTGCGCAAAGCACTTGCGAGGCCGATGCCCAACTATGTTACCGCGCGTACATTGAA